TTGGGGGAATGAGGGTTTAGGGTTTAGGGTTATCAAGACACAGCATCTCTCTCACTCATGGGAACGAAACCCAAACCCCTAAAACTTCTAAGCTCTAAGCCTCATAAACACATAGTAGGGAGTGCAGGCCCAATGCTGGCTGGTGCCGCTTTTGCAAGGGGTGCCATGGCACCCTGAAGAAAAACCTAAACCCTATAGCACCTACAAGCACTAAACTCTAACACCTATTAAACCCCAAACCCTAACGCCTAAACCCCTAAAACCTAAACCCTAAACCATGAACCTATCCACAGATTCCGGCTCGATGTCAGGTTCAGCGCACGGTACGGGTCCTGCTGGTCGGTGCTGCTCCTTGTCTGTCCCCATACAGGATACTTGAGGGTTTAGAGCTTAGGGTTTACTGGCGTTCTCGAACCCTAAACCCTAAACCCCTAAACTGTTTGTGGATCCAACTCGCACTCTCCAGCCGTGACTGCGGGCCCAGGCAAGTTTGTAAAAGCTTCGGCCCAGGATAATGAACCCTAAACCCTAAACCCTAAACCCTAAACCCTAAAGCCTCGACCCAGGATAATGAAGCCGATGCTCCGTGGGAGGAGCTGTTGCCTCACCTTTCCGGGACGCTTGAGTTGGCTGCTGCGCTGAATTTGTATGCCCTAAACACTAAACCCTAAACCCTAAACCCTAGACCCTAAACCCTAACCCCAATATAGGGGCCTTAGCACTTAGCCATGATAGTCCCTTTTTAAATTAGAGTTTGGGGTTTACGGTTTAGGGCTGGGTTTAGGGTTTAGGGATTAGGACTTCCTTCTTTTTGGGTTCTCTGAATTAGGGTCCCTTTTCAGGTCCCCAATATAGTACGGCACCCTTTTAAAAAGGACCCCTCAAAGGGACCCCATTTTCGATAGCTACCCAGAGGAGGATCGCTCTAGGGTCTCCAAATTCGAAGAGCAAGGGCTTTCTCGGTAATAGGAGGGTTGCTATACGGTTTAGGGTTTAGGGCAGGAGGGTTTCTGTTGTGGCTGCCATAGTTTCCTTTCAGGGCTCCTGAGAGTGGTTGTGTAGGAGTGTGATGTTTGGCTTTGGGTCTTGCAGGGTTTCGGGTTTAATTAGGGGTTAAGGGTTGAAGGCTTACTGATTAATTAGGTGCTGGGGTTCAGCCCGACATGCGACAGGTCTCTAGGACTACGGCCCGTCCTGGCATGTACCTCCTCAGCTAGCACTGATGATTCTAGCCCGTCTGTCTTTCAGTTTTTGATGGGGGGAAGTCTTACTGCATCATCTTTCCCGGCTTACAAAGGCCTCAACCCGAAACCCGAAACCCGAAACCCTAAACCCTAAACCCTAAAACCCTAAACCCTACACCCTAAACCCGAGAACCCTGAACCCTAAAACCGAAAC